GGACCAGGATGTGACACAAAAATCTGAATTATGGAACTGAAAGTGAAAGTAGTCAAACTGAATTTTTAATAAACCAAAATACAGTTTCAAAGCAAATTAATTCAGATACAAAACTTTAAATTCAGTTTCAAATCATTAAATTTAGTTTCATTTCAGTGAAATTTACTTTCAACAGGGTGTCCGCAGGTCCTTAAAAATCCTTAAAAAGTCTTAAATTCACATATCTAAAATTAAAGCCTTATAAAGTCTTAAATTTAATTTAAAAAATGTGCAAGTTGGTCTTAAATTTGTTACTCAAAAGTCTTAAATTTTGTCAGGCAGAAGCAATCAACGTTCTCCATCTCTGCAGCGCATTTCCTGTTGAGAAAAGAGAAAAACAAACGTGTTGAGATGGATTAACTGACGCTGCTTTCAACCAATAAAAAGAACCAGAGTCACAGTTTTAGCCAATCAGAGCAGAGCAGGGCGGGTCCTTCAGTCTCAGAGCGGAATCAGAACCGCAGGTAAACTAATCAGAGTTGATCGGACTTTTTTTCCAAGGAGTACACCTCGACCCACTACCAGAACCACCTGCCCCGCATGAAGGTGAAGTTATGTAAAATTATTAAACATCTAAGTATTAAACACCTGTGTTCGTGTGTGACCAGTTCACTGCAGCTGAGGAGACACCTGAGCTGAATCACCGTTACTACAACCCGTCCAGAACCGAGCCCGACCTGCCCGGGTCTTTTTTATCTAAAGTCTAACTTTGTGTTAAACATTTATGTGTTCGGAGCGTTGTCGTTATTTTACTATGGAAAGCACACTGGGCCAAATACACGTGAACATTTCACGTTACTGTGATACGTAAACGATACATAAACAACATGTGCAAGTTGAGCGCGTGACCAAACTGTGGGTCCGACAGAGAGCGTGTGTTACAGCGGGAGCTCATCCTGTGTGTCACATGGTGAGAGAGAAGTTGTAGCTGCTGCTTCAGTTATTTAACATTCATTAACGCTAAAAGATGAAAATTTATAGACTCCAGAGCTCAGCAAAGACGTTTGTCTCAGTTTAAATTTAATTTTCCCTCAAACTTGTGAAGAACAAGTTAATTCTACAAAATGTTTTAACAATCAGGTGTTTTGTTTGTTTGGATGTGCTAAACTTTTATTATCTTTAGAACTATACTACTAACTGAACTGTGATAAATATAATTCATAAATGATCAAATATGAAAAATAAATAGTATGACTACCCAATGTGTCAAACTTCTACCAATTCTGGTTTTTTTTTTTTTTCTTTTTGTAGCTGCTTGTGTTTGTAGACGTACTTCTATCAGTCTTTCTGACGTCTATCACAGTTTCTGTCCAGCGGGTGCTGCTGAGCCCCTCCACCGTCACAAAGCACTCACAGGCAGACACACTTCAGGGTAGAACTGACGTATAAATAAACCAACACATATTATGATGTAGGCTGAAATTGAGCTTCCCTCCTTGAAAGACCAGCATCCACCACTGCCATGAAGTGATATTTTTTTACTCGCTGAGTTTAAAGAAGTATCGTCATTATATTTTAACAATTTATTGCACCAGCTGTATTAAGTAGTGACTGAATAAACAGAAAATTGTGGATTTTTCACACATTATTAAACTTGGACATATTATGAAATATAACGAAACAGGAATCTATTAGGTTGCTGGGGGTATGTGAAACACTTAATCCACGATGAACAGAGAGATTTAAAACCATCATTTAAACACAGACATTGTGCACAGAGGAATCTGTCTGATAAAAACTGTAGAGCTTTAACCAAGACAGATTAGTGCACAAATAACGTCGGGTCTCGGATTTTATTTTATTTTTCACATTGTAGACTCCAGAGGGCAGAAACCCTGTGCAGTGGGAGTGGTTTCCCAGGAGATCGGCTCTGTGTGTCTCAGGGGCTCTGTGTGTCTCAGGGGCTCTGTGTGTCTCGGGGGCTCTGTGTGTCTCGGGGGCTCTGTGTGTCTCAAGGGCTCTTGTGTGTCTCAGGGGCTCTGTGTGTCTCAGGGGCTCTGTGTGTCTCAGGGGCTCTGTGTGTCTCGGGGGCTCTTGTGTGTCTCGGGGGCTCTGTGCGTCTCGGGGGCTCTGTGCGTCTCGGGGGCTCTGTGTGTCTCTGGGGCTCTGTGTGTCTCTGGGGCTCTGTGCGTCTCGGGGGCTCTGTGCGTCTCGGGGGCTCTGTGCGTCTCGGGGGCTCTGTGCGTCTCGGGGGCTATGAAAGGTGTGTGTGAAAACGAAAGCCAAACAACCACGTGACCGCGCGTCATCTGGTCGGCTGCCAATCAACCATATCACTACTACTACTGTTGGGTGTCAATAATAATGTTTGTTATCTGGATTTTAAAGTAAAAAAAAAAAATAATATATACTATCAATTAATATTTCTTCTGTTTAAGAATTGAACAATGGACACATTTGTATATTTATTTCCTCACACATTCTGGGTAAGAAATGTCAGGAAAGGTCAGCCTTGGAGACGATGATGTCATTGGTCACTCTTTCTTTAGAGTATTCATAAAGAAGCTCTGCAGTTGAATGTAATATTGTGCACTTTTAATAGTTTTATGTCCCCTCTGTTTCCTCTACCCACCCCCTTTCAGGAAGGGTGACTACCACAGGTACCTGGCAGAGTTTGCCACTGGCAACCATAGAAAGGAGGCAGCAGAGAACAGTCTGGTGGCCTACAAAACCGCTACAGATCTGGCCATGTCAGAACTGCCACCCACACACCCCATCCGCCTTGGCCTCGCCCTCAACTTCTCCGTCTTCTACTACGAGATCCTCAACTCACCTGACCGCGCCTGCAGGTTACTGCCTCTGATGAACACTCTTACAATCAGTTGTCTTTTGATGTTCCTTCATGGAGGAGGACAGTTGGGTTGATCAGTTAAATGGAAGATCATGCTCTGACTGAGCTGCTGCAGGAAAGGAACATGTAATACAGGCTCCTTTAAACAAACTAACACAGATACAGCACTGAAAGAATGTTTTTAAACAATTATTTAAATTTTTGTTCCAAATAAAATGTTGAAATATCAAGTTTGATCTGGTTTTATCAGGTTGGCGAAGGCTGCGTTTGATGATGCCATTGCAGAACTGGACACGCTGAGTGAAGAAAGCTACAAGGACTCCACACTTATCATGCAGTTGTTACGTGACAACCTGACACTATGGACTTCAGATATGCAGGGAGAGGGTAAGAGACTCATACCAGGTCATTTACTGTAACAACTGTTCTTGTGCTCATTTCACTTTATCTTCCTTTTATTACAGAATTACTTATTTTATGAAGAAATAAAGCTACTAAATGTATCACTTAACCTACATTTGTTAACCACATAAAACAAAAACAGTCTTGGTTTCAATATTTTAATACTGAGAGCAAATTATTTAATCTTTTGTCATTTTATTTTTACCTTATTTGCACCACTTTAGCCCCCTTCAGAATAGAAAACCAGTGCAGTTTTGACACCTTGACTTCTCATCATATTTGTGTCTAGATTTGTTTTCAGCTGCAGTGACAACAGTTTATCTGTGAGATGAAGTTAGGCTAGAATGAAGCAGGAAACTTTGTGTCTCTTCTGACAGATCTCTTACCAACTTTTGTAGAGTTTGAAGAGATGAAAGAAGTGGTATTCTTTACAGTATTGGAGGGTTTCTCCTACATGTAATTGATCGTGGCGAACCGTCACGGCTAAATAAAAGCCGCCACACCTTCGGAATTACGTTTTTTTTTTTTTATATCAACGTAAAACAGGAGTTGACACAATCATGTCTGAGACAACCTATTTTCGTTTTGGACAACCAGATCCCACCTCCCAGTGGTCCGGTGGACAACCAAGAAAAAAAGACCTGGATTTAAGTTTTCCTCCGCGGGGTGTTGGTCGTCGTAAAAATGAACGAGAGAAAAAAACTTGTTAAAGCCGTCTAGGGCTTAAACTGACAGTTATTTCATCCAATAAAGAGAAACAGAATCAAAGTTTTACCCAATCAGAACAGAGCAGGGCTGGTCGTGCCATCTGCGCGCTGCCTTTTTTCCTTTCTCTGTGGGTGGGGGGTCAGTTTCCCTCAGCTCAGGACGGTGAACAACTCCCGGGAAAGCACTCTGCGTTTCCTGGACTACTTTCCACCGAGGACTACATCGTATTTTATATATATTATATTTCTAAAAGCAGCTCGCAGCATTTCATGAGCACAACAAAACCGTGACAGATCAGCTGACTGGTTTTAAAGCGACGGCTGAGAGGCAGTGACCGCAGCTGCTGCACCTGTCCACCTGCAGCACAGCTCCGACCAGCCCTGGACTTCAGAGTCCACATGTCAACCCATTCAGACGGTATAATGAGCATCAAAAATCTGTAATTTGCGCAAAAAATCATTATTATTCACACGCGGGTGGAGTGGAGGTGCAAGCTGGCCGCAGCCACGCGGGGAGGAGGGACGCTCTTAAGATGTGTCTACATTTGACTTTCATTTTTTTCTAAAATCACAGAGTTCTCCGAGTCAGCTTCAGATGTTTGTAGTGAATCATAATACCTTCTAAATTTAACCAGGTGTTTCAATGCCTTTAAATTACACAATAACTTTACTGGAGAAACTTGTCAGTTTGATTAAAAAAACAGTAAAAATAAATTATTTTTTTTCTGTGCAGAGAACTTCCTCTGCTATAATTTTTTTTTTCAAATAAACATATCAAATTCCCTCAGTTGAAAACATTAAAATGATAGAAAAGATGTTTAAGAATTTCTTTCCTCAAAGTCTTCAGTCCTAAGAACACTAAACTGTAACTTTAATAAGGCCATGTACACAGTGTACTCCTATTTAAATAAAAATGTTTGACCTGTAAGCAGAAAGTGTATTTGTATTTACTAAACTTTGTATACATAACAATATACTTATTAAATTACATTTACCCCCGCTCATGAGAGGTCACCACACCACCATGGTTAAAAAAATCCTAGGGGAAACCCTGTAATGTAATAAAAGTAAAAAAAAAATGTTTATATTATAATTAACCAGTTAGACCGTAAAGTTATTTGTAGAGTTTCTTTTGGAAACAACCGTACACATGTTCAGTGGTCGTAAAAACCTTGGTTAATTTTATACTGACTGAGAGCTCATAAAAGGTGAGTCAGTTCCTCTAATAAGAACAAACAGTGTTTGCTGCAGCTGTTTGAGCTGGTGTTAGTTACTGACTGATGGAATTAACCGCTTCACTGTCTCAAATCCACGACTTCCTTGGGTTCTGTTCTGATAGTTTAGAGATGTGCTCATAAAGTTTTTGTGGTTCAGATTCAGTCCTGGGGCTCAACTCAGCAAATAATTCAGAATCAAATCAGAATCAATTTTATTGTCATTCACACACAACATCAAAGATGCAATGCAGAACGAAACTGCAGTTTAGAACATCCGTTCGGAGAAAGACACACACAACAAACACGGGGGAACGAATGTCCAAGGTCTTTCGCAACGATGGTCGCACCACCTTTTGCAGCTTGGAATACACACAATAATAATTCAAGTTTATCCTTTGCTATTAATAACAGTTATAACACTTTTATAACTTGGATGAATGATTTACAATGTGTGCAGCAGCAGCTTTTCTTACTGCAGTGTGTTCTTCAGGGCTTGTCGACAACTTTCCAGAGCCTCTTGTTTATAGATAGATTTTTGCCTTGCATACCTTTTATAATATTCATAAGGGTGATATTTTTAAAACCACATACTAGGGATGTCTCGATACCACTTTTTCACTTCCGATACGATACCGATATTACAACTTTGAGAATTGTCCGATACCGATATTGGCCCGTTACCATAACAGTACAAGTCACACACTTTTACCTATTTTGTAGTGTAAAATCTTAAAGTCTTGATCAAGTCAAACAG